AAACATCACAATGTAACTCCAAGTCAATCACACTGCTGTGAAATCTGTTTGGAAGAAACACTGATTGACGATCAATTTCACATGCTGTTGTGCAAATGGAACAAACAGGTGGAAATTAGGCATGTTTTAAGGACATTACATCAAAGTTGGATCGGCCTGTAATGTGGTTTTCCACTTTGATTTTGAGTGACTCCAAATCCAGACCTCCATGGTTTGATAAATTTGATTTCCATTGATAATTTGTGTGATTTTGTTGTCAGCACATTCAACTATGTAAAGAAAGGAGTATTTAATGAGATTATTTCTTTCATTCAGATCTAGGATGTGTTATTTTAATGTTCCCTTTATTTTTTTGAGCAGTGTATATCTCAACATAGTAATCGTTTCCTTTGTCCAGCTTGTCTTTGCTTTTAGCTGTATGTCTGTTTCTTCCCAAGTACCTTACATGTGTTGACTTCTCAGAACATAAGTCAGTCTTTCATTTCGTGCAGCCTCTTCAACAAAGTCCAAACTTTAATAAAACTTAAGATATCGGTCCTCCTATTGCATTTTCCTTTGTCATGTTACCTTAATATAGCACTTTCAGCTCTACACCCATATATCATCCAAGTACTTTTCAATTAGAGGATGTAGTTTTGGTGTTGAAGTACTGCATTAATCTGAGGTGTTTCCATTGATCCTCTGGATATTTGCACTCTCATTTTCTCTCCTTATCTACAATATACAGTGTAGAGATTCCTCTGCTCAAACCTTGATCAAAAGGCTGAAGATCACTCTACCAACAGTATCCTTGTATGAACTGTGTCACTGTTTCACAAGAGAAATGTGGTTTCATCCCACTCAAGAGTCATTTACAGACTCACAAGTCTACATTAACAAACCACAAGACCTGGTGTAGTGTTAAAAAAAAAAGAAAAAAGTTCATATTTACCCCCCTCCCCCCACCCCCCTCCCCTTATAAGTCTTCTGCAGCATCAATATGGTGCCTAGAAGAAAAGAAATTGATTACTTTTAAAAACACTGAGCTCAAGTGAAGGCAATTCAAGTGGAACAGACACTTCACACTTGAAAGCTAGACAAGCTGTAGTACACCGACTTATTTTGCAAGTTTCATTTCTTTGCAATCAAAGCAGCAGGATAGAATACATTTAGTCAACAGGTTAACAGACTTAATGAACAAGTCACCACATTACTGTGTCAGGGCTCCTCTCAGTCTGCACAGGTTGTACACAGTATAGCTTTGACAATTTAGGCCCATAACGGCTTCCTGATTACTCACTTCTTCATCAAGGCATTTGTCTGTCTTTTGAACCATAAACTGGAAGGCTTCAACCATGAACAGGCTATGATGACGATTTTTGCAGTCAATGATTTTAAGGATGGACACATTTGCAGCATAAAGGTTGGGACACCTGGAGACAAATATGACTCATTGTTAGGCAGACAGAGGGCGAGGAGGGGTGTGTTTTAAAACACATGGAGTTCAGTCAGAATCAGTAGAATTGTGCCCACAGAGTCAGAGTGTATTGTGTAACCCACTTACCAGAGTGGATCATGTGTTGTAATTACGCCATACTGGAGGGTCAGAGATTGGACGACAGTCTGCACTTCAGCCAGATAGATCGTCTCACCAACTTCCCGTCAAGAAAAGTCAACTTCTCAGCTATTGGCTTCAGGTTTCCCAGCAGATTACACAGCATGCATGTTATGCCTGAACCACACCCTCCAAGACTCCCAGCATGTTTAGAGTGAATGTGTTTTTAAAATCCCTTTTAAAAAAAAAAAACCCACAACATGTAGCAGATGCTAAATCACAAGTAATGACTGCTTGGATTGGTTTGCCACCACATTGAGAACATACAATAATCTGAAATCTAAATGCAACCCTATCAACCTGTGACATAACCGTGTGCTACAATGGCAGGTCAGGGTGAGAAACTCGAGGCAAACGTAGAGGGCTGCAGCATTAAACACGCTGCCTGTATTTGGGACAAGAATCTATCAGGGACAGGCCTTTTCTCACCTGTCAGAACAGGAAGTTCTTGCTGTAATTTAGGTTTTTTTTTTATTAGCCTGAGATTGTTAACATAACAAGGTCCAGTGAAAGTGTTGAATAGAATTTGTGTTTGAAATGGTAGTAAGCCATGAGTCAACATAATACCATCTCCTAGCAAGGATCTTGCTAATGTTCAGTCAATCTCAAATCGCATGTGGGCAATAAGTCGGAATTGAGCATTAAGGCCTGCAGTGTGAATATAGCTTAACTAGGACTATTTAAATTAAAAGTTTTACGGTAGTCAAGTTATGAAGAACTTGCTAAAAAGTAACAAAGCGGACAGTGCATTGGGAAAAAAAAAACCCCAAAGGGGACAACTTACATAAGCATGAACTCCACATTCTGTAACTTTGAACTTAATGATGGCAACTTTGTCATTGACAAGTTTACAGTTTGTACTCCCATCACTCCCAGTAAGAACAAGCTTGGTGGGTTCCACAGGGATGGATGCAGCGTTGGCACGAATGGCAAACAAAGTGTTGATCGACAGTACACTCTAGAGGGGAAAAAAAAAAAGTCACTTGAAATACAGACATTTCCTATTTGAACATTTTTTAAAACCATGTCTCCCTAATCAGAAGCCTCACCATCCATTGGGTAGTAGCAGGCAGATGTAGAAGAATCCACACAGCATCCCGTCATCAGTCTGAGGACGATATTCCTGACTGGCCACAAATCACCAGCTCTCCTGTGGGGATGCCACAACTTAATAGGACAATGACCAAAAAAATAAAAATTCTACATCAAAAATCAATCCTGAAAAGTGTTACCATTCAACATTTGTAGTCAGCACATTTGCTGAAATCAGTTTGTACGCACCACGTGTCGGTGGTGCTGGCATTTCAGGCCCTTGGGGGAATCCAGGCCGCTGCGGACATGCAGGTCGTTGCGGCAGCGCTGGGATTGGCTCAATAAGCTTTAATGTGGTATTGGATTGGCCACTGGAGCGAGGAAACACGCCTGGGTCAAACTTCAGACCTCTCAAGATGTGGAAGCAACTTGTCTGATCAAACTCGTTGACATACAAATGCTGGCTGTAGCAGTCATTCTAATTTTTCACAAGGAGCTTTTTCAGAAATGAACTCAATTCAAGACATGCAAAACTACACACCAATTTTAAATAGACTACAGAGCCAAGGCAATTACTTTACAGTACATTTACAGAAACCTAGCCATTTCACATAGCACCCGGTGAAGGGTACAGCCAAGGTGTTAGTCAAAGGGTTCACTTTATAACCTCAAGACTCTGGAGCATCCATGACAGCCAGCAGGGCCTTTGAGCCTGTTGAATGAAGTGAAAGCCTAGTCAGTTTACAACATGCATTCAGCAAAATAAAGACTTTAGTTTAAATAAGAAAAGTCAAGTACATACCCACAACTTTAACTTCACTTAATGAACCTGTCATTAGAGAATTTGGAAGCCAAAGTCACTGCAAACCACATCTAGCCCAGTCAGACACCAACTGGTACTGCCAGTCTGGCTCCTTGAAGGGATATAGACTATAATGTAGTGCGTCAATCTGGTCTCCATGGTTAGCAAAATCGTAGAAGTTCCCACAGGTGGTTGCACCTTCAACTTAAAGTAATGAATCCTCAAGAACTGCATCTTTACCACTGTCATCCTCCCTGCCGTCATCTGGAGGGGAGAGAGGTAATTGTTACCAATGTCACAGATTGCAGTCAAGAACTCAGCCATTTCCTGTCAAATGTTTGTAGACAGCCCAACCAGATAGTTTCTTCCAGTCTTTATGAATAAGCAGTTGCTAGAGTGGACTGAAACACAAACATCTCAGGTCATCTATGCTTGATATTATGGAAATACTTACTGCCCTACAAGAGGTAAATCGCAATAACTACATGTTTGTTCAAAATTGAGTTAAGACTTCAAATGGGCTTTATGATATCTGTTCTGTCTTGTGACAAAGTCTCCTACTTTAATCTAAAATGGTTTCAGAGAAGCAAGTGTCAAAATTGCAGTAACTACAAAATCCAAGCTAATACCAAGGCAAACCGCAGTAAGTGATGTTACTGCCTCCTGGCTGGCTTCGACACCGCAGATGTCGCTGGCAGTACGTTACAGCCTGCACACGCACAGAGAGACGGTCAGCGTCTAGTCAATGTAGCCTACTTGCAACACGAACGGTTAACAGTCCGCCACTAAGTAGAGAGATATCATGACACACCTGACCGCGACACACGTCGCTCTCTCAGCCGTCTGTCCCCCTCGCTCAGAGACACATTGCTCTGACTGTCTCTCTGCTCAAGGATGCTTAATTCCCCCTGAAGCGGCTGTGAGCTGCACTTTATCATAGGTGCTGAAGCGAACATGTGTGGGTGTGGTGATATTTCTGTCTGACCACAAGTGTTTTCAGTGTCGATTTTCTACCTCTGATGAAGAGCAGCGCGCTCATCTCATCCAGTACAGTCCCAGACGGGCACTCTGGTAGACTGTCTAAAAGTGGGTACAGCTTGTCTTTGAATTTACACAAAGAAAGTTTGTATATGCAACACAATTCATTTATATTCCCTTTTTGAACACGATTGAATCAAGTAGACTTATAGTGTTTTATGTAGATTGTTGCTCTACTAGATTTTCTCGCTTTGATTGAAATCAGCCATTCTCTTTATACATCCATGATACAATTGAGTTTAATCACCATTTTTCATCAGAGGTAATTTAACATTGCCTTAAATGAACTTGTTTTACTGTTCTGTATAGACAATGTAGTGTAGTCTTTACTCTCCCGGCTGGTGTGCAATGTGTATTTATTGTGTGTAATGTTAAGTTATCATTTCAGTTTCCTGATCCACTCTTTTGTTGTTAAACTTAAACACACTGAAAAGCCGTCCATAAATCGTTAAGTTAACAGTTATTTAATTATTTTCAGCTTGCTATTGTTTCCAAAATTGCACTGTATTACAGAAAATACTTATATCGGTTGCATCTTGCTCTGACTTTTGTTATATTTGTTTGTTTGTGTTCACCTCACTGATTATACATATTTTATAGGTCTTTCATTTTATTTGCAGAGAATGCATACTCAAAGGCTTTATAGTGGTAAGTGATGTCATTTATATTTTATTTTGTGTGGCTGTTAAAGCCCCAAATCTGGATTTTGTGACTTAGAAGTACATTTCCAAAAATAACTGTAGAGCTTCAGTTAAAGATGGAAAGTATCAATTATGTTTTGTCATTTGATTATTGTTAAAAATTTAAACTTCACTTTTTTGCATAATAATTCACTTTACGAACAAGCCTTGAACAATATTAAAAACAGTAAAGTCCTTGTATTTAAAGGCCTATGAATCAATTTGTAAGTAATAGCACATTTTCATCGTGTGTTTTGAATTTTGGTAGTGCAGTGGACCTTTTTGATTTTATATGAATTTCAGATTGGAGCTTCAATGATGTGACTAATGACGATCTTGATGTATGTTACAGGGCTAGGTGGTGGGAATGTGGAGTTGTAAGGGTTGCACAGAAACGGTGTCAAGTAGGTCCAATCTTTTGCATCACTACAAGTTAAAGCATCCACATTTTGGACGTAGTTCTCGCTTACCATGTACATACCTGCACTGTCAATGCACATTTAAGACATGGAATGCCCTTATAGTCCACCTAAGAAAAATTCACTCCACAGGGGTCACTTGCAAAGAGGAAGCAATATTAAATTGCCAACTCTGTGCTTGTAGTGATTTAGCATCAGAGAGGGATTATTTTGCTCATATAAATGCACATCTCAAAAGAAATGAGACTGTCATTTGTATGTTTTTACGTTGCGACTTTAAAACAAACATTTATTTCACATTTAAATCACACAAAAACCGAAAGCACTGCCATCACACTTTGGTTGATTTTAAACCTGGAGTAGTTATACGTACTAGGATATCATCTGTGAATGAATTGGAGGAAAATACTCAGGAGTTCGTCGAACAGTCAAATGTGGCCATTCCTTCAAACAGTCCCTCTCAAACTGAGGACTTGCAGAAGATCATAGAGCAAAGATTTGCAGCTGCTTTGCTGAAGCTGGAGCATTTGGACCATGTGCCCAGCACAGCTGTTGATGTGTTTTTAGGAGAACTCCATCATTTGACTTTTTCTGCACCTGTTCCATTATCTTGTGACATTGTGAGTTAGATCTTTCATCAGAGAAACCTCCCTGTCGATGAACATATAATCAGAGAAACTGTTAATGCAATTTGTTCTGGTAATCCTATTCAAAGGTCAATACAAAAAGGTGGCCCTCTCAGTACCGCATATCAGCGTAAGAAGTATTATAAGGAGAACTTCAGTGTTGTAGAGCCAGTGGAATATATTCTTGATGCTAAAAACAAATGCAGTTTCCAATATGTACCGATATTGAAGTCCTTACAACAGCTGTTATGTAGAAAGGATATCATTGATGCAGTTGTCGAGGGCCATCAAAAACAGGAGAGCACATGTTCTGGAGTGTCATATCAGTTCAAGTCAGCAACAGATGGTTCCCTATTTAGGGAAAATAGTTTCCTCACAGGAGAAAAGCCAAGGATCATCCTAAATTTTTATGTGGATGATTTTGAAACCTGTAACCCGCTTGGCACCTCGCGAAAGAAACACAAGCTTTGAGCTGTTTATTGGGTATTAGCTAACTTGCCTCCGGGATCTCATTCATCATTGTCATCTATCTATTTGTCAGTTTTGTGCAAAACCGATGATGTTAAAACCTATGGTTATGATCAAATCTTTGAACCTCTTCTAAAAGATCTGAAAACTCTGGAGGAGCTGGGTGTTTATGTCCCGTTGTTAGGTGAGTCAGTTAAAGGTACAGTTCTCAGTGTAGTGGCAGACAACCTGGGAGCACACAGCGTTGCAGGATTTATGCAGAGTTTTTCGGTGGAATACTATTGCAGATTTTGCACAGGAAAGAGTACTGATATTCAGCTACATTCTGTTGCATCTGGTGTTTTCAGTCTGAGAACAAAGGAGCTTCATCAGGCCCATGTCAAACAAGCCCAAGATACAGGTACAGGTTTTTGTGGAGTGAAAAAGGAATGCGTCTTTACAAAAAATCTGTCTCATTTTAATGTCATCTTTGGCTACCCACCTGATCTTGCCCATGATGTTTTTGAGGGTATAATCCCAGTAGAGCTAGCTCATTGCTTAACAGTGCTTATATCAAGAAAGCTTTTCACGTTAGCAGACCTAAACAATGCCATTCTGAAGTTTCCCTACAAATGGGCTGACAAGACAAACAAACCTCAAGTAGTGTCACAAAGTTTTTCCAGCTCAAAATTGGTGGGGGGAAATGCTCACGAAACTGGAGCTTGCTCCGCTTCTTACCTTTTTTGGTTGGATCCCTTGTACCTGAAGATGAGCCTGCGTGGCTTGTTCTCATGGATCTGAAGGACATTACAGAGCTTATTGTTGTTGAAATTGACCAAATCTGCATTTTACATGAGAGTATATTCTGTATTGTCAAAGAGCTATGTGGTTGGTACAGAGAGCATTATAGAGCCTTTGAACTCAGCCAAGCACCCACAAGAACATTCACTCTCGTGGCACTCAGTGAACTCCTTGATACTTATCTGCTTGTTGACTACAAGATTGGAGCAACCCGCATGGTGACTTTGAAAAGGCATATTGAAATCAAAGGTGCGCTAGCAACTGGGAGGGGACAATTTGCTTTGTCTACTTTATTAAATATGGTTAGAGGATGGTGCAGCACCATCTTCTAACCTTTTGCCTGCCTTTATCACATATTTGTAAAGTAACAAGGTGTGTGTGTGTGTGTGTGTGTATATAGTTTATGTAACTGTTCTAACCTACCCTTTTTCATAATTCTATTCCAGGGTGTCTGCAGTTCCTTAGCCTTAAATGTCTGAAATTTTATTGTATAATGATTAAGTCATAAGTCTTTCAAAAGTCTAAAATTTAAATTTATTAGGTCATTTCAACATTACCTTTTTCAATTTATTTTGTTCAATGTTACTTAATTTCTTCTGCATCAGAGGTAGCATTTCTAATATTAAGACTCTTAAGCTTACCACTGAAGCTAATCCTGCTTTTATACTGACATGCTGGGAAACTGAGCCAGCTCACATTAGTGACTCACAGAGGGAAAACCCATAAAATCTTTAGACATACCTGTCACCATTTCTTTGTGGAAAAGTCATGATTAGATTTGTAGTAGCTGTCTAACCTAAAGGAAACTTTTAGAATTACAGTTCATACAATCATCTAGTTTAACAACCCACCATATTCCTACGTAACACTGACCTCTGATGTGGACCAGATTTACAGTAATAACCTTTATACTGAACTGCAGTGATGTTTTTTCGGGGGGAAAGTGATTCAAAAATCAGTCTAAAATAGTTTATCTTTTTAAAAAAGGTATTTAAATAAAATTTTATTTATATAGTGCCAAATCATAACAACAGTTATCTCATAGCACTCATACAAGAGCAGGTCTAGACCATACTCTGCGATATAAACCTAAATTAGAGCTGTGACCCAGTATTATTTTGGTTATCTTCCTATTTGTTAATTTTCTCCTATTTGTTTATTTTTATTATAAACTTGCATACCAGCCACACTCAAGCAATTGGAAAAGTATGCTTTTAACACTGAATTTAAGATATAAAATGTATGAATGTCTGATGTCTAATTTGTGTGTCTTTGCAGAATAAACAGCTTTGAAGATGGGGACTCCTGTGATCCTTAAGAACGTCTTGACTGATGGCAGCTCTCAGAGGTTGACTCTTTCCCATGGACTCCCTGCATCCATTGATGACCTTATGATTGAAGTCAAGAAACAGTGTGGACTTCAGGGCAATTTTCAACTTCAATTTATGGATTCCTTGTTTGGAAATGAGTTCCTCAACCTTACCTCAATTTCAGAAGTAGAAGACAAAGGTACTCTTAGAGTCATTGATATGTCAATGCCCCCAACTTTGCCGTATAATAATGAGATGGGTTCTCTAGTCCTAATACCCCAAGCATTCAGCCCTTTGTCTTCCTCTGTAAGTGACTCTTCGTCCCTCTCAGCTGAATCTGTGGATACAGATGTACTGTCGTCGAGTGAGTCAAAGAGCTTGCGGTCTTCTTGGCCAGCTGTTTTTCATGTGCCTAAGTTCTCCTATGATGCTGAATTAAAACTTCAGCAGGCAAGTTTAGCCTATATTCGAAACGGCACTGTACTGATTCCAGATCCCAAGTTGAAGTCAGCCATCCTTGATGGTTTAGTACAGGAAATTGTGAAGTATAAAGTTTATGTCAATGATAAGGAGATGGAACAGGTAGCTCAGAGTCTTATCAAGAAACATCCATGTTTAACTGAGAAGGGGTCCTGCAGTGGATGTGGCGGATGGAAGACCAGTTTAAAATATAAACTATCTAACTACCGCACACACCTGAGAAAACTGGGTAGCCCAGAGGTAACAGTGAACTCTTTAAAAAACAAACCTGCAGGAAGATGCAGTGCAGCCTTTGGTGTCAAAAAGGCAAAGAGAGCAGAGGTGAATTTTTGCCCGACATACCCAACAGCAGAAACTGAGGAGAGTCTTGAGGCCATGCAGAAAGCTCTACTATTAGATGTAAAGAGGAACAACAGGGAGGTTGTGAAAGTCAAGATGGAAAAGACTTTTGCACACAGAAGACATGAAGTAGTTCGTGATGGACCAATGGTGGAGGATTTCATGGCGAGGTGGCCTGCCCTATTTGACGTCACTGAGGTAAGACTTATTTCATGCTGTGTTTTTCATTTTGCATTTGCTGTTGATAAAAGGACAGTCTTGGTACATTGCTAATATACCTGATTTGTATATTTTTTGTCTGTGCTTTATCTCCCTCCTAGACTGTCGTGGTCTGCTGAATGTGTGATAGTGGCTTTCTCCTGGATGTCTACCATTTGAACCTGATTCCTTTGTGCTTATTACCCGTTTTCAGATCAACGCTGAATTCAAGAGAATCACCACCGTCCCACTTCAATCCAAGTTCCTGTCTCAGCTGGATCTCCACTCTGACAACCTGATGAGGCTGTTCCAAAACAGAGGAGGACAGCTAGGGAAAAGGCTACAAAGAATCATTGCACAAATGGCAGATGTAAGTGGTACAGGGTTCCCACAGTCATGGGAAAACTTAAAAACATTAGGAATTTGATTGCTTTTTGGAAAACATTAAGACATTTGGAAGAAAGGTAGAATGTTTTAGTTGCCACATAATTTATTGGCATTCAAATTGTACAGAAAGCCTAGTAAGCTGTAAGTGCATTTCTTTTTCATCTTTCTCCTTTGCTATTTGTGCATCTTGTTGTCTCAGTTTTAACCTTTCTTCTATTTACTTTAAGGGTTCTCCGATTGATCGTTCACCAATCGTTATCGGCCGATAATTGCTTTAACTAGTTTGATCAGTGGTCTCTAAAAAGGCAGATCAGAAAAGCCTATCAGATGATGCAATACCCGCCAGACAAATTTTCAACGGCAGTCTAAGCAGTTTTCAAAGCTAGCTAGCACCAAAGTCCTTTTCAGACAGGAAGCGAGTGATGTGCTCCAGATAATCATTTACAATGAGAGTTGAGCAGCAATCAGACAAGCGGAGCAACAAGCAGGAGGATCATGTGAAACTGTCGCGGTCATGCTCATCTCACACACACATGCCTGCCCACTACCAGAGTTTAATTGTCTTGACCCACAGCGCATCAGAGAGAGTGACTGATCTTTCAGTGTGAGTTTCCTGATGCAAAGAGAGAGAGGGCCCTTTAGCAGCTCAGGCAAAAGGCTTGTACCATAATAGGGACCCTGGTGTTATGTTCTCAGAGAAATATGTACTCTTATGACAGTTTACAGCAGTAGTTGACTTTAAAATAAAGCAGAAGAGCTGCATGAAGACACTAATTAAGTAAGTTTCCTTTCAATGTGATGATGTAGATACTGGACGAGAGTGTATCATTAAGGGAGTCTGTATCTACATGGGTGAAGATCCAGAAAACCTTATGCGGGAACATGTGGAACATGTGTACATGAACTGGTGCTTACTTTTTCTCTTATCTTCTACTCTTCTATTGTCCTTCTCCTTGATCATTTGAGCTGGAATTATTAATTGATTGAGAGAATGTATTTATTATTTTGATGTATTACATTTTTAGTTTTATACCATTATAAAATCAATACAATGTTTCTTGGTTACTGGTCAATCTAACAAAATTGAGACATGACTAAAGACTCTAATTGCTTTATTTAATTAAAGATCAAAAATGTCAAATAGCCTACATTTTAAAATTAATCAGGAAACTGTAGGCTACAACAAACAACATAATGAACACATTTAAATAGTTGTACAAGGCCTATTCATAGTTTTCAGTCACATGACATTTGCGGTACCTGGGGGCAAAACAACAAACCAACACAACGAATCACGCCGCAACTCCCCTGTAGAGACGCCGCAAAAGCATTTACATTTATTTGGATCACCTCTCAATTTAAGAAAAAGAAAGATATGAACACAAACTGCAAGTGTCGGGCACTTCCGATCCATGTTACAGCATCTGATCCGCATTTCTATCGTCAAAAAGCGCCAGGTCCCTGCCGCTGCTCGACTGCGGTAATGTTTACGTTTGCCTTGTGGGGAATCCCTCACCTAACACAGCTCAGGCTTTTCTCTTTCTCGATTAATGCATCAGAAAGTACAACTATCATCCAGCATTTTGGCAATGCAAAAGTAAAAAACCCATAGTAACAGTGTATCACTTGCTTTCCAGTTGGCAAGCAGCAAGAAATAACTTTTTTTGCCCTCCAAGGGAGCGGCTCAACCACTCGCCCTCTGGACTCTCAACTCCGGTTCCCCCTGCTCTGCACAGCAGACTAATTTTGTGTATTCTAAAGAAAAAAAATGTTGCCTATAGGGCTGACCCCAAATAGTCAAAGATTTTATGCTTCGATGGGCGGAGCCTGATTCTCACAGTCGAATCTTGTAAAAGTAGGATCATGCCATTTTGGCAATATGGGGGAGCTCAACGTCTCATTTTACACAGAACTGCCGGTTTTCTCCCAATGAGTTAATGTATAGCCGATTATGATATTGAAATTTCAACATAATGCTGTAAATAAAAATGTGAAAAGAAGCTATATCTTTAAAGTGTCTGTGAAATAAATCCAACATTTTAACCCTAATCCAGTTTCATATTTATTTATCATTTTCTCAATTGCGCTTGTTAATGGGTCATATCTACTTTTGTCTTTTTGGTACAGGGCATGGATAAAGACGCCATCAATGAGGCTATTGAAGACACCATTGTTGGGATTTTTGTTCTTAAAGAACATGCTTCAAGTGATGAACCAGAGGACATTGGAATCGTCCTTGAAGGCATCAAGGTGTTGCAAGATCTGGATACGGTAGCATTAGCTGTTGCTATGCTGTTCGGACTGATTTATGCCTTAAACCTGAGTTACCCTGCTGACCTCCGGTACACCTTCGAGGTAGTCCAAAAGATTTTCATGGAACTGGATGGAAGTAAACTTTCTAACAAAGCACTGGCTCTAAAAAACCGGCTCTTTCAGTAAAAGGGTCAGGATACACTGCCAGCAACATTAGACCACAAGACATTTGAATTGTCGTCAAAGACAACTTTGGTATTGTTATACCATTTGGACTGCTTTATATTTTCTCTTGATTACTGTTTAAAAATGGGTTGTTAACATTTTCATTTACTGGTCTGAGTCACCTTAAACCTCTGCAATATATTGTATTTGATGCTTTGAATACTCTCACAACTCCGTATACAAGGTTAAGAGATCTATATATTTGTTCCTTAGTTAAAAACAAATGTTTACGAAGTGTTGATGTTTACTTTTTTCATAAAGATATACTGTTAGCACAGTAAAAATGGTGTATGCAGGGTCGGATGTAAACTGTCTAATAAAGCACTGGCTCTAAAAAACAGGCACGTCAGAGACTACACTGCCTGCAACATGAGGACACAAGACATTTCAATTGTTGTCAAAGGCATCTTATACCATTTGCACTGCCTTATCATTTTCTCTTGTTGACTGTTAAAAATGTTAATTCCATTTGCTGCTTGGTGTAAATTAATACTGCTACCTGTTGGCACAGTGAAAATGGAGTATGCAGGTGTGGGAGTAAACTTTCTAAGAAAGGCTCTAAAAAATAGGCCCTTCAGTGCCAGCAACATTTGAACACAAGACATTTGGTTTAGTTAAGGGAAAAGTTTTATTCATGTTTTGTATTTGCTCCTAGGAATGCACAACTTGTAACAGTTGAAATCAGCAAACACAACTGCAGTCCTCTTTTTGGATAAAGTTTGTATTGTTCAATATAATGAACGTTTAGTGCAAAACTCTGACTCAGCCTTTTTTGTCAATGCAACTATCTGCGCACATGAACCGATGTCTGCAATACATTTGGATAGAATAAACTTTACCAAATCAAGTAAGATTTACAGACCTATCTCAGATACCTAGGACATAATGAAATTACCTTGAAGGTACATAATTCCTTTGAGTAACATAAGCATTAAGAAATCAAGTTGGAGTTACAATTGATAATCAGGTACCCTGGACATCATGGATTTACATTAACATTACACAATATGATGGCATTATGGTGACTGACAAATAACATGTTGAGTCAACATGATTCTTTTAAACTGTCTAATATGAATTAATTATTTTGGTTTGACAAGCAATAATTCATTGAGGAAAAACAGGAA